AAAAAAAAAAAAAAAAGAAATTGACCCCTGTTTCACTTTCCTACCCTAAGCCCAGCAGGAAATCCTCTTGTCTATGCCTTCAAACACTGTGATCACTTCACATCATCTTTATGTCCAGTCCTCCAGTCTTAAGTTTCTTTCTTGAATATTGCAAAAGGCTCAAGATTAGTTTTGCTGCTTTGCAGCTCGCCTCTGTATAGTACAAGTTCTGCATAGAATCTAGGTAGATAATAGACAAAGCCTTCTAGTAGCCCGATCATGCCACTGTTCAGCTTAAAAATCTCTAATGACTTCCCATCACCTTTGGAGAAAAATCTGAAGTCCTTACTTTGAACTTAATACTTCCTGGCCTCCATCCCTTGCACCCGCCCTTGCCCATCTTTTTTTTTGAGAGAGAGAGAGAATTTTTTTAATATTTATTTTTTAGTTTTCAGCAGACACAACATCTTTATTTTATTTGTATGTGGTGCTAAGGATCAAACCCAGAGCCAAGCACATGCCAGGCGAGCGTGCTACCGCTTGAGCCACATCCCCAGCCCCCCTTGCCCATCTTGACCACTTTTCATGCTCTCTCTGCTCAAGTCATCCTGGCCACCTTCTTTTTCTTCAACTCATCACGCATAGTCTTGTCTAGGGGCTCTTGTGCTTCCTATTCCTTTTTCCTGAAATGCTTCCTCTCCAGGTGTAAATATGACAATTTTTCTTCCCTCTCCCCTCAGGTGTGTATTGAGATCTCCTTATTAGAGAGAACCACTCTGTTATGCTATAAAAAAATAAATAATAAAAAACTTCCTGCCTCTTATCTTGCATTCTTCTCCTTCTGAGCACTCATAACCTAACAGATTATGATTAATTGCATTTTTTGTTTGTCTTCCTCCATTTGGAATGCAAGCATTGTGAAAAGACCGTTTCATTCATTACTCTATCACCAGGGTCTAAAAAAGTGCCTTGCGAAGTAGCCGGCATTTAGCAAATACATGAATAAATACTAGATTGACTACATACTACTTGACCATTGCAGTCAATAGCCTCGTGTACAAAAAAAAAAAAAAAAAAACAGCACCACTAAAGTAAACCCCAATAACTGCCTTCCACTTTACGGATTTGTCTCAGTCAATGAACATTCAACAAAAGTTATTATATAAGGTCCGTATAAAGAGCCCAGGTGGAAAAGGACAACTTCTTATTTAAAAAAAAAAGTCAAGACCAGAATGTAAAAGGATCAGAAAACTCAGAGATGAGGTGGAGTGGTCAGAGGATGCTTCTTGCAAAACATGGACCCTCTCTTGGGTCCTGAAGGAGGGTGTTCCTCTTATCTCTTGCTATGTCACAAACTACCCAAACACCGTAGCTTAAAACAATGATTTTTGTTTTCTTTACAGTCTATGGCTTTGTGGACCAGCAAGTTGAGCAGCGAGCTTGGCTGGGTGAGACTTTTGTTCCATGGGGCACTGATGGGGAGCACTTGTGGTATTTAGCTGGTGGACGGGTTGGTTGGGATGATCTAAGATGGTTTCATTTGCATGTCTGCTACTTTAGTGGGGATGAGTGGAAGGGGTGGAAGGATGTATTTAGTTGAGATGATGACCAAACCATCTATATATGGTATTTCCAGTATGGGAACTTTGGGATTCTCAGACTTTTTAGGAGGTAACTCAGGACTCTAAGAGCTAATTCCCCAAGATACATGATGGAGGCTTCAAGGCCTCATGTGATCCAGTCTCAAAAGTCACATAGAGTTACGTTACCTTTTCATTCTCTATTGGAATGGGGTAGGAAAGATAATTCAGGAATTGTAAGGAGTCCAAAGTACCTGGAGTGAGAGAATGACCGGGAGAGATGGCAGAGAAAGGGCTTAGGCTGGGACAAGTATGAACACCGGGTTAAGGAGTCTGACCTTTGTTCTGTAGACAAGTGGTCTTCAAGCTGTCGTGTTTACATATCCCTAAAGGAATTATTTTTGGGGGGTGGGGGCTACTGGGGATTGAACTCAGAGGCACTCGACCACTGAGCCATATCCCCAGTCCTATTTTGTATTTTATTTAGAGGCAGGGTCTCACTGAGGCTGGCTTTGAACTCACCATCCTTCTGCCTCAGCCTCCTGAGCCACTGGGATTACAGGCAAGCCCCACCGTGCCTGGTCCTTAAACAAAATTTCTAAAACGCATTTTCAGGTTGATGTACAATCCCTCCCTCCTCCCCCATAATTAAAAGTGATTACAAAGCTCAGCAGCTCTCCTCCATGCGGCCCTTTGCTTTGATGGAAACTTTTCACTTTCTTCCTCCCAGTGCTTCCAAGGTCACTGTGAATCTCTTCCTCCATCTGTGCGTAAAACCTGGAGAATCATACACCGGAAAGGCTGTTTAGGCCAGAAATAGAGCTGTAGCACATCACTTCTGCTCACTTTTCATTGTCCAGATTTCAGTTACCTGGCTACTCTGACTGCAGGGGACTGGGAAGGAAGAAGGAACACAGATTTTTATTGAAGAGCTAGTGGTCCTTGTTATAGAACACATATAAAGCACTCGGCACACTTACTGGAATACAGTAAGCCTTCAGCATAGTAGCTGCTGCTGTTTTTAGCACCTTTACTATGATACACCCAGCCTGTGTGCTGTTCTACATGTCGATGAATTTGCACTCCCTTTTCTGGAGCTTTTCGGCCCCCTAGGTAGATGTACTTAAGGCAAAGGAGACTCCAGAGCCTAGGAGCCCAATTAGTAGCTAATAACTTCAGCAGGCGGCTCTGTGGCTCTAGTCAGCAGGAAGCAGAGAGAACCAGACCCAGTTCCCACAGGATTGCATGTCTATTTCATTCCTGCCTTCGAGAGTTCAATTTTTACCTAACATTTGTGCTGCACCTGCCTGCTTTGACTTCCTTGCAAATCCCATGGCAGGCTCTGTTATGGCCTGCAGAAAACCAGGCACTTGCCCTAGAATTAAGTTTTGGCCTCTTAAGCTGCTTTTCAAAGTGATCCACCAATAACTGCAGAAGAGGCACCACTTTTCTTTAGGAATTCTATCTAGGCTTTTGAACCCTATAGTGTTGATATAGATTAAAACTGAGGCAAAACTGCAGGAAGTTGATTTTTGGTTTTGCCTGGGAAGGGCACCAGGGGACACGTAAACACCGTTTTATTTGCTTTCCCAAACTAAGAAGGTGATTACATGCCATGAGTTTCCTCCGTCTAGTTGCAGTCTCTGTAGAAAAGTGGGGGCTCCTCCTTTCCCAGAGCTTAACTCCTTCATCCAAAATCTTAACTTACATCTCCCTGCTGATTTGTTCTGTCAAGACTCCTTGTAGTGAATTGAATGTCTTCCAAATGCAAGAGGACAAGCAGGTCAGTCTGAGAAAAAGAATAACTGCTTCCCAGGCCGTGTTCTTGCAGGGTGCAAAATGTCAAACTCTAGGTGTGACCTTCCAAGGATGGTGCAAGGGTTTCTACCTCAGCCGGCTCAGCAGGGGTGCGTCCTGACTGCTGCATGAGTCAGCATGCAAATGGTTAAGTTGGGGAGCCTTGGCTTTCCTGGTTAGAGCATTCAGCCTCCAAGAGTTAACCTGCAGCACTGCTCAGAAGAGCAGGGGCAGAGGATATACAAGCATCCCTGGCGCTCTGGCTTGCAGGAGAATGACATGCGGTTTTGAACAAGCAGCTGCCGCAGCAGGTCTGGGTATGTAGCTTTGCTTTGATTGATAGTGTTTTGTTTTCTCCAGAGAGAACAAAGCGATGGTTGTTCATGTTTGCAAACAAGATCCCTTGGACATTGAGAAAGAACAGATGTTTATTAGCCTGCTGTTTATCATGAAAATAAGTAATAGAGAAGCAGGGGAGTGGGGGGAACAGATCCTCATTCTCATTTCTGTTTCTTATTGCAATGACAGATTTTCTTTAATTCTATCTGGATTCTAGTGGGGTATAATCAGGTCATTTGAATGTCACAGTTATAGTGGAATTAAAAAGATAACCTTTTGCAATTCTTTCTAAAAGTCTTCATATCTACATTCAGAGATATGGATTTGGTGTGAAGAGTTATTTGTTGAATTGGTGGAGCCAAGTGGCAGAAATCTATATTTTCCTGCCCCATTTTGGAAAGTGAGATTCAGATCCTTAGACTTAGAAAGCAAACTTCTCCAAATGTAACATATGCCTGAGTGAGAAGAGCATCATCTTGGATATGGCCTTTTGTTTTTCCCCCTTAGGAGCTGACTACTTTAGTCTTGGGTGTATGCAGTGTGACTTGAAATAACCTTCAGAATACTAGCTCTTCTAATGAGTCTTCTAAATTGGCTCACCTGGGCCTTCCTGTCATGTTGGATATCTTTCTCTATTTTGTCATTTAAAAAGAAAATATCTGAGACTCAGAATAGACTAGAACTACTCAGAGATTTGGATTTGCTGGAATTTTCAAAGATAAAGGGACTTAAGTAAAGTTGGTTTTGATCTCTTCCTACCTCCATTCTGGCATTACAGTATCAGTTACTGACTATCTATAGGATATTGATGACTTTTTTCCCCAGTTGGTCCACTCTGCAGATTTAAGATATGGGATGTTGCTTGTCAGACTTTGACCCTACTTAACAAGTTGCTGTTTCCCAATGCAGAGATCTAAACTGGAATAAATGTTTTGGCATCATCCAAAATATTTCCTCATCAGTACCCAAAGATTTTTAGTCTGGATTTCCAACCGATGGGAGAGTCTTTTGATAAGCAAATTTCTCTTTGAAAAATGCAAATACTGCCTTGAAACTTGAGTGGCTATCAATCATGAACACCTTCACATAAATTAATTGAATGCATCTTTAAAATCACTCTCTCTGAGGACATGAAAGTTTGATAGTGGCCAGTGAAGCCATTTTAAGAATACTGAAGAGGGCAACTGGGAAGGGAGGACAGAGTCCGTAGAACAGGGCACACAGTGGTGAAGGTGAAGGTGCTTGAAGACTTCCAGGGGCACATGGAACAGTTAGCATCCCAGGGAATCAATTTCCAGGTCCTCAATTTCCATTTAAACTCCTTTACAAAATTTTTATAAAGACAAACTTCGCATCCAGGTAAATCTCTTTTCATTTATTTATTATTTTAAAAATGTGTTTATTTATTCTAATTTGTTATACATGTCAGCAGAATGCATCTCAATTTATAGTACACATATAGAGCACAATTTTTACTTGCTCTGGTCATACACAAAGTAGAGTCACACCATTCATGTCTTTATACACCTACTTAGGGTGATGATGTCCATCTCAGTCTCCATTTTTCCTACCCCCAAGTCCCCTCCTTTCACCTCCCTCCCCTTTGCTCTATCCAATAGCCTAAAAAAAAAAAAGTACCAGGTATATAAAATTCTCTTTGCATCACACAAAGGAATAATTTCAGAACACATTGATTGCTCCTGAAGAAGAGTCTACTATAAGCCAGGCCAGAAGCAAACCTGATCTCATCTCATGTTCAGGCCAAAGGCTCTGGAACTCACTTTTCCCACTGTTTTAGAAATACAATTAAAAAGATTGTCCTGGGGACAGGGTGCATGTATGGACACATGTTCAGGAAATAAAAAAATGAAGTCAGATATTTCCTAATAGCATGCTGATCTGGCTGCCTGATTTGATAATGAAGTTGGTTAGGTTCTGTGGCAGATATTTCTGTAAATGTAATGTTGGTTCTGCTATTCAAGGTTTGGGACAACAAACATATAAATCATTTTTCCAATATATAGAAAATAAGATAAAACTTTTGCCACTATTAAAACATATGTTTTATTTTTAACTTTTCTTAGAACAACTAAGCAACATAAAATTGTGGGTGTTTACATTATTTTTAAAATAACTTTATTTTATTTGTTTATTTTTTTTATGTGGTGCTGAGGATCAAACCCACTGCCTCACATATGCTAAGCAAGCACTCTACCACTTGAGCCCCAGCCCCAGCCCCAAATTCTGGTTTATTGTTGGATGACATTGTTTCACAAAAACATCAGACAGACCAAAAAATTAACAGTAGCTTCATAGACAAAAGAAAAAAGAAAGAAAGAAAAAAGAGAGAGAAAACTTTCTGTTTGTGGTATTTTTAACCATCTCATACAAACCAACTACTTATAGTACAGCAAAAGTACTATACTACTGGGAATAAAATTAGTTTTGTTGTTTTTGCTTTTTTTTTTTTTACAATTTTTTTTTCTCCTTTGAGATTATAAGAAACATGATACACCACAAGTAAAGTCAGAAGTAGGACCAAGAATACTTTGAAGGCAGGTTTGGTTATCAGAGATCATTAAGAATGGCTGACCCCTAACAACATGTACAAAAACATAAAATGTAAATAAAAAATACAAGATTCCCTTTTAAAAAGTGCTCTTCAGAAAACCAACAGGGCTTTGGAAATTTGAGTTCTTCCCCCTTCCCCTATTGCACATGTGATTTTGGTTGGGTTGTGAGCATGTCATCTGTGGGTGGCACTGTCTATGGGGTGGGGGTGGGGGGCTGTCTGCTATAAAGGTGATCACATGTAGATTTTGACATGGGATGTGGAGGGTGATCAGGTCATGATGGACTTTTATTTTAAGTTTAATTTTCATCCTCTTCCTCACCATCACCTCCTCCCTCTCTCTCTCTCTTCTCCTTCCCCTTCCTCTTCCTCCTTTCCCTCTTCCTCCCTGTCCTGCTCCCCATTTTCCTCATTAGCACTCCCATTATCAGGGACCTTCCTTTCTCTGCCTCCTCAACTTCCTTCTTCACATCCTTGGTGGTGATGTTGGAGTGAGTGCCCACGGCAGCATCTGACGTGGTGAAGTAGGTACACCCGTGATCCCATGCAGTGGGTTAAAAAGAAAACTAGAGTTCAGGGCTCTGGTGATAAAGCTGCTAGAGTCCGACAGAGGTGCTTGTGGCCAACTGGCATCAGGGAGCTGGACCTTGGAACAATGCAAAGATGGCTTTTAGAGCCGTGAGTGGGGCTAAAGAATATAAATAAGTTTTAGGTGTCATCTTTTAGAATTTGCAAGGGAGTAGATGATATAAATATTCTCTTAAGGGCAAAAGCTTGCAAAAGACTAGTGGTGCACATAATCCTTGAGGTGAGATGAACCTTGTTCAATAGGCTGTGCCTCTGACCTCAGACTGCTGTAGTTGGCTCCTGATCTTTTGCCTCTGAGGTACTTTTCTTATTCCCCACAACTCCAGAGTTCCTTTTCAGAATCTATACACGTCTTACATGGATCTGCTGGTTGATTTCTTTGATCCATGTTGTAGTTGTCCAGTGCTTTGAAGACAGGATGTTCAATGCAGAAGCAGGCTCTCCTAAGACAAGAGTTCGTCAGAGGCCATTGTACACAGATCTTCCCAGCTTCACTTTCAGAAGCATCATCCTTGGTTGCATGAAATCAGCAATGGTAGAATTATTTACATCACGGAAATTGGCTTATTTACTAGTGTATTCCTCAGAAATATTTTGGGCCCCTATTTGGGTCAGTGTGGCATGATCCCTGCAGTTGGAGTCAAAAGATGCAAATTCAAATCCTATGCCTACAAATTATTAGCTCTTGGAACCTCCTTGCGCTTCAGTTGCTGTATTTGTAGCATTGGGATCCTGGGTGCCAGTCTCTGGGATAGTGCTAGAAGAGAAAGGAACATGATGAGACTGAAATGCCAAATTGTCTCACAGAGACACACACTCCTCAAAGGGAACCAGATTAGGAAAGTGTATACATTGAAGAGGAAGACATGGATTAAGCAATTCATTCTCAGGGGGGGTCACCATTCTAATAGATAACACATTTCAAACCCTATGTAGGTCACATGGCAGTATTATGCACTTCTCTCCATTTTCTTTTCACAGTTTTGTGAAATAGTTTCTTGGTAGGAGGATGCAGAGAGGCATGGCCCATGCTATCCCTGCTGCCAAAGGAAAACAGCTGAGATGTTAAGTGACACCTGGAAACCTTACCCCTTGGATTAAAGCAAAGATACCAGGAGCTGGTTCTGAAAGTTCTTCAAAAACAGCCCCTTTCCAAGGCCTTTCTGCATTGAGCCTTCGTCAGTTCGTTTCCCTCTCAAAGAACAACCCACTTCTTTGCTGACAGACAAGGTCAAGTCAACAGTAAGTGACAGAAGTGGAGGACGCGTCAGATCTCTAGGGCAAATGCGTGCAGAAAGGGAGAATGGGAAACAAGCTAATCTGGACCATCCCTCAGGGAAGGCATCGAGTTTTACTAGCATCAGAGTAAAATGTGCATCCTTAAAAAAATGATATAGAACTCTGACTCAAGTGGTTATCCAGTCCTAGAATTAAGATTTTGAAACTGGATTTGACTGTGAGGGATCATCCTAGAGAGAAGGGATACGCTAGGTCCCTGCCACAAGGAACACTTTTGTCTGCCTCTAAGAGTGCTACTCAGCTCTCTACCCACTCAGCATGAGGGAATTTGTCCCAAATCCCTCCAGAAAGGTGAGGCCCCAGGCCAGTTGTATCTATGACTCAGCAAGGATTCTCCTCCCACCTTACTAAGAACAGCTTCAGTCACAATAAGACATTTGAAGAGCAAAGAAGGAATAGGTCAGGGGTGAGTCATCACCAGGTTAAAGCAGTCATTGAAGCCACAAGGGGGCAGAGCAAATCATGCCACTGGTCGAGACTGCCCAGAAATGAGGCCCCTGAGGGCCTGGGGGGGGGGGG